GTGTTAGTTCCTACACGGCGGAAAAAATGATATATGTATATAAAAATCATCAAAAAATCTTCAAACAACAATGCGTAGAAGCGCCACAGCACCAACAGGCGTATCATTATGTAGGGTTATTTGTTATTGAAACTGCGACATTCAAATACTATATAAGAATATCTGAAAAAAGTTTACGAAATTATAAGAAAATACAACAAACAACGTACGTGAAGTTGGCCCACCCTTTTTCACGGATTAACTTGAAACCTATACCAATATTTTGCGATTTATTTGCGAGAATTTGCGAGTTCATTTTCAAAATTTGCGAGTAAGCCGTTTGCGAGTTATAAGTAAAAAACAGAAGGGTGGGCCAACTTCACGTAGCCCCTCCAAGTCGCCCTAGAACTTCAAAATCGATACCAAACGATGCGTCTTTATTTGCGAGAATTTGCGAGTCCATTTTCAAAATTTGCGAGTTCACCCCTTACCCGCAAATTCCATTTTCCTACCATGAAGTTAGCCCACCCAAGTCACCCTAGAATTTCAAAATTGATACCAAACGATGCGTCTTTATTTGCGAGAATTTGCGAGTTCATTTTCAAAATTTGCAAGTAAACCGTTTGCGAATTATATTTAAAAAACAGAAAAAACAGAATCTCTTACATCATTATATTCATAAATGTATTATTATTATTTATACAAAGGCATATTGCAAACACACTATTTCTATTTTAAACATCTATAAGTTAGATAAAAATGGCATGGGATATAAATTGTAATTATTTTTATTTTATTTAAATATATCCGATAGTATGTATTTTACTCATATTTATAATATACTCGTGTATGATATAAATTAATAACAGTTCATTTTAGTCATTTAGCTCTTTAGTGTTGTGTTTACCATATAACTGTGAATTAGAGTGCAGTATTTGTACAAAAATTTAGTTTTGATTTCTTTTTTGAGACATTATTTTGTAATAGAAACATAATTTTTTTAAATATCTTAATAATTTATTAACTTTATTATTAAAAATGGCTGGAAGAAAACATTTAATTTGTTGAAGCTAATATAATCTTTTTACAACTTTCCGTTATAATTTTTTTTTTTTATGACAAAGAAAATCTTAAGAAAATTTTTTTATCCAATTTTCATGCCTTAAATATAAAATCAATTTTTATACATTTTTAACTATAAAAATGTACGACTAATATTTTATGAGATAAAATCGGAATTTCGTAATATTTCTGGGTGACTATAAGTTGCGTCCCAATGTACCTTTTTGATGTAAATTGAGTCCCGAGTAATTTTAGGTATACTAAATTGCGTCCCGTACATTTTTATATTAAAATTTATATTTATATTTATATAATTTTTTGACTAAATAATTAATTTTATTAATTTTACAGGTTCTCACTTGTAGCTATTGTTAATTTTGTATCAGGAGGCCACTATGTACCTATATTCAAAGGAAAAAATAACAGTAGTAAAAAAAGATAATATTAATTTAACGCCGCATATATTAATGTACATAAAAATGTAACATAATATTTTAAATTTCTTGTATATTTTTAAAATTATTTTCTAATTTTTGTAATTTAATAGATATATAAGATAATAGGAATTAGGTTTAAAACAATTTTTAAAATAAAAAGCTTTACCAGAAACTGAAGTTGTTATTAATACAAGAACTAGATATTGCACATTACATAGTTTAAAATAAATTATTCTCCATTAATAAATTGGTGTTCCTATATATTTTGTTGATCAATTAAATTGAAAATCCTTAAACCACAAAATATAATGATAATTATATTTTCCAGAAAGAACTGACATGCAAAATGAACCATTGGCATACATATTTAGTTATTCTAACACACTTATTTGTTAAGGTTATATAATATGAATACCTGAAACCAATTATTTTTTTCAGAAATTATTGACTTCAGGGTGTCAAAACTACCCTCGAAAATCCTTGTGAATTAGGAATTATCATTTGATAAACATTTTAAAGTATCACAACAATATGGATTGGTTATGTATAAAAAGGGAAAATAAGATTCATACGTAAGAAATAGGTAATTTTAATTTGATCACAATTTTAGAATTAAAATTATATTCTTCCCAATGGCGGCTCGTGAATTTTTAATGAAGAAGAGCACATCCGATAAAATTATAAAAAATATTATATATACAACATTAAAAGTTTTTTGTTTTTTTTTACGTCGGTGGTCGATAGTAAATAGAAACACGATTGTTGTTTTGAATTTAAGATAATGACTAACATTATTAGTCGATAATCACAATATAATAAACAAATGAGAGTAAAAATAAATCATAATGCCGATACCGACGCAACGACGTAGAAAATAATTCGCTGAAAACATTTTAATTGGTTATGTGCACAGAAATGAATATGCACATCAATTCCATTATAACGCGTGTTGTGTGTTTTGACTTGTTTTAATTTTTACATTGTACAAATGTGCACAGCAATAGTGTGCACTACTGCACCGCTATTAAAGTACGGTGTCCAATGCGCGACCTGTCGCCGCGACCGGTCGCCACGACCAGTTATAATTTTCGGTCGCTGATGACCGACTGGTGTTCAATGCGCGACCGATCGTAGGTACCAGGTTCTAAATTTCGTCAGTAGCACGCCGATTTCTATCGAAGGTTGACGTAAAACGGTACCAACATGTCTGATAATGAGTTGCTGTGTATTTTGAATAATAATAAATTAATTATAAACTTACTAGAAGATGAGTTGGAAGATAATGAAATATTATTTTCGTATTTGTTGTCTAAAAAAAAGGAATCCAATTGATTCCTTATTTTTAAACCACGATTCTGAAGGATATTTTAAAACCTAATAAATAGACATTTGTTCGAAAATATTTTGGGAAATTTCTTTCCATTTTGCATCTTTAATTAATAAATTAAAATATTGCATGTGTGAACAGTCATAAAGCTCTGGATATTTACGCACGGATTCAATAAAAAGTTCATCTTCTTGTGATGTAAATGCTATAGCCGACATATTGACCCCGAGAACGAATCGTCGACGCGTCGCGCTACACTGCTCTTGTCGCGGTATTGTCGCGGGTCGCGACGGCAAATTATCTGTCGCGGGTAGGACACCAATCAATGGGAAACGCAAATAATCGGTAGAGCGCGACAGGTCGCGCATTGGACACCGTACCTTAACACACACACACACACCCCGATACTGTTCTGTCGCGGACAACCGCCTGCTCGTGTGGCCTTTGGAATAACCCAATCTAAATATTATATTATTTTCATACTATTCTGAATTTAAAATTTGAAAAATAATCTTAATAACACTACAAGTATTTAGTTGTATTATTATAGTTCATGTTTTCAATTTTTTTTGGAGTTTGGGCTCGTGTCCGCCACTGAATCTTTCGTAAAAATGAATTAGCAGATAAAATAATTTTTTAAGATTGCATAATAATAATAATTTAATTCCATAATCTGAAAATTATAATATTGGAAATAATTTGAAAAAAAATTAAAAATGTTAAATAATTTTGAAATTCTTGGGCCACTTGGAAAGGCTACGTGAAGTTGGCCCACCCTTTTGTTTTTTAATTATAATTCGCAAATGGCTTACTCGCAAATTCTCGCAAATAAAGACGCATCATTTGGTATCGGTTTTGAAATTCTAGGGCGACTTGGGTGGGCTACGTGAAGTTGGCCCACCCTTCTGTTTTTTAATTATAACACGCAAACGGCTTACTCGCAAATTTTGAAAATGAACTCGCAAATTCTCGCAAATAAATCGCAAAATATTGGTATAGGTTTCAAGTTAATCCGTGAAAAAGGATGGGCCAACTTCACGTACGTCAAACTACAGGCTGATAATATCATCCCGACTCGACGTAAGATAGATAGAATATCTAATTATTACGACTTTTCATTACGGATAAAAATGATACAGAACTTGATTTTGGTTAGATAATATTATAATTTTTTATAACCATACACCGTAAAATGTACATCTTGCTTAAAAGTATTGTTAGTGTTGTTCAAATCATCCGTGTGCCCGTACATATCTGTATATATCAGTCACAATGATTGAGAATGTTATGTATATAATTTGTTTTACCTAGTTTTTACAGTGTAGGAACTCACATATGTACCTTTTTCTATCGTGTAGGAACTAATGTACGTATTTTTTGTACCTGCTACTCTCGTGTAGGAACTTACATTTGCCCAGAAATACATTTGAATTTACTTTATCACTTAGTACACAAGACGTATCATTTCATAATTAATTAAACGATATATGTACATAGATATCCAAAGGTAGGTATATATGATGTATAAATAGTATATATAGAAGGTATGTATATAAAAGAAATTGCCACAGTTTGTATAATGTATCTTATCGATTTTGTCGCAGATTGTAAAATCTTAATTTTTTTTTTTGCTGCAGTTTACATATCGACTTTTAGAAAAAGATTAATTTTGCCGTAGTTTACATACAGCCTGAAATATAACAAGTTGTGCCGTCTTGTTATAATCATACAAGAATATCTACTGACTTCAGTAATTTATTTTGGCCTTATTTTGACCAAATGAAAATTTCACACTTCTAAAAAGAATGATATATTGTTATGTTTTTTTAAAAGAAATAAATTTAATTTATAACAGATTTAAATCCTGCGTTCTTTTTGAAACACCCTATAAATGCATTTCGACCATCACAAATATGATTGAGTTATGATTCATTCTTACCTATATAACATTTCAGTGCTTGTTATTTGCATTATTGTCTGTATAACAAATTTTTCAGTATGTTTTAATATTTTAGTAATAATTATTACTAAAAATTATTCAACTTGGACGATACAAAATATTATTGATATAATAATTATAATTGTAAATAATTAAATACTTGTATAAATACAAATATTACTCTTCTTCGGTTAAAAATAAAATATCCTAGATATCCATAGATATTCTTTTGTTCGATGTAACAAATACAATGATATTACAAAAAGTTGAAGATTATAATCTTACAAAATTCCATAGCAATAAAATAAATGGAAATTAATCAACATTAAAAAGTTAAAACTATAAAAAAAATATTAATAAATTCTACAGAATTAATATTATATTTATTACCTAAGTTATTATAGAGTAATAGAACCATTGAGATTGGGTGTATCTATAAACTTAACAGACAAGTTTTGGGGTGCGCTTTCAAGTTCTACCATCACTAGTGTGTTGATACCTGGTGGTGGTCTTAGAAAAAGACCAGGTACATAGAGCGTAACTTGAGGTCCACCAAGTGGCCAATATCGACCCAAATTTACACCGTTTAAAAATGCTAAACCCTATAGTTTTAAAAATATAAAATTACATATTTAAAAACTAATTTATGACACTTTAATGAATCTATTTTAATGGAACACACCTTAGTCCATCCCGAAGTATCCAAATATGTGTCCAAACATGTTGTATAATTTTCCGATAACATAAACTGTGTTCTATAAAATGCCGGTAATTGGACGTTTTCAACAGGTTTAACTGATGAAAGCCATGATGTTTCGTTCAGCGGGTAAGCAGTCATCTTCCATGGGCTCAATATTCGGTTTCCCAGCAAAACGTGGTCAAAAATCCCCTTAATATTAAAAAAAAAAAATAATTTAATATTGAATTATTAATTGTAATATAACATTAACGTGTCACTCTCAAAAACCGATAAAATAACCGTACCTCATATCAAAAAAATTCAGTTATTATTACTATAGTCTCACAAAAAACGAATTGTTGTTAAACTATAATTTTTTTTAGATATATTAATATTTATATATTATAATAATAAGTCTGTATCACATACTTTTTGTTTCAACTATTAAAATAAATTACTTGAATTTATTGATAAATAATAGATAAATTTGTTGATAAAGAACGTTATCATATGTATGTATTCAGGGGCTCATTACACATCAAACCCTAATCAAAAAAGACTATCTATTAAAACAACTAGAATTTGGAATGCACATTATTCGTTCTATACCACCATCTTATTAAACTTTATAAAAACTTTAACTTTAACTTTATATTAAACTTTATGTGATAGGCTATTATTTTTGTTTAATTGAAAACTTATATAGGTACATACAAAATATGTTATTATTACTTGCACATTAAGTTACTTTAATACATAATTTATTTAGTAATGTATGGTACAAGGTATAAAAATATAATACATATGTATTATGAATAGGACCAACAATTATATGACCTAAAAATCTATAAAATATACATGCAGTTATGCACTAAAAATTACCAAAATATGCTTTAAAAAATTGTTTCTTTAAGTAATATTCTATTTTTATTGTTATTTTTTTTTTAAATATTATTCAATATTCTATAATACAATTATTGCCAATGATTTACATATAATAAACGAATAAATAATAAGTTATACAAAAACCATAATCAAATGATAAACATTTTAATTATTCTAACCCGATTTTATTGCATTGAACAGTTAATGATTATGATAAGTTTTCAAATAATATTGAATGTCGATCGTCCGTTAACAAATTTTTTTAATGTAAAAAAAAACGTTCTACATTGACGGATGTAATAGGTGTGTATTTATAATGCAAAAATCGTTGCTTGTCAAATCTTCTGGGATACCTTCTAACGTGGATATATCACCGGATAATACGTTAACATTTTTTGTAAGAATATGAAAACCATTATTATATATATCTTCATATTTTTTGTTAATATCAGTGCCATTTGTACCACTAACTCCACATATTTTACTTATTAGTTTAATTGATTTTACTAGTAAAAAGATTCTGGCTTTCTAAAAATGTTATGGTATTCGGTAAAAATCCATATTTTGAATCAATAAAAATTAAATTTACTTCAACTTGCTATTTAGAAATTAATTATTGAATTTTGTCTATTGTATCGACATCTTCGGGGTTCAAATTCTATATAACAGTTCGAATAGCTTGTATATGTTTGCAATAATACATTGAAGCAGAAATCCATGTATCCCATCTTGTTAATATAGGCATTGGAGGCAATGGAATACCTAGAGCCTCAGTTTTAAACAAATCAATACGACTTGGCGCTTTTAAAAATATTTTTATTGTGTTTAAGACAAGTTCGTCAATTTTTGGAAATTTATCACGAATTTTTTCTGTCACTCGGTAGATTTTCCTTTGATAATGAAAATTATTGATTTTTAATACATATTTTTAATGATTTAAGATGGGGATTAACCCCCTCCCCCTGTGGATCCGCCACTGATATACAATATCAGTAAAATGAAATGAATATTGATAAATGAATATTTTGTTTTTCCCGAGTCTTTAAGGTACTAAATATGCTGCAAAAATATACAAAATACTAAAAATACCCTGAAAATGCAAAAATGGCATAATATGCGATAATATGTATAATAAAATTTCGTATACAGCATCGCTAGGTTATGAATCAAACTTTGGTATAAAGTAGCTATTTTTTGGACTAACCAATAAAAATATGCAAATGCAAGTGTTGGCCATAATTATGAAACATATGGTTCAAAAATAATACATATTTGTTGCATAATAATGTGAATAGCATCACATAATGCAGCCTAAATAAGGTAAATAAATGTTAAAGAATAAGAGAAAAATACAAGTAACTATTTATATCTTATGTATTTACACTATCCTAAATCATACATCAATTAGCATGATTTATAGGACCTACAATAATTATATTGTACTGTGTTATTACACTTATCATTATCATGGGAAGGAAATTATTAACTAACCTTTCTATCCTCAAGAAAATCTCCGTAATTAATTCGTCCTTGATTCTCAATCAAAATACTTAGTTTTTGAACTGAAGAATCGATGTTCAAAATCATCGTCGTGTTGCCTTTTAGCCGTGTCATTGTACCTACTTTTACCTGAAACAATATAATTTAGCAATCATGTTTTGTAAGTAATAATACAAAGTAATTTTACTTGATCCAAGTAGATTATTGCTCGATCTCTAACCGTGGTAATGGTTAGATTTACTGGATTAATGATTTTTTTTTGATCATTTGTTAATATAGTTTCATACATTAAAAAACCTGTATTAATGTCCATATCCTCAAACGATAGTGGAACATCACTAATCACTGGTTTTATACGTTGAGCTACCTTTTCAAAGAAACTAACAACAGGTTGCACATGAAACGTTCCATAAGCTCCTTTGGGTGTAGGGATGGGTGATAAATAGTTTGTTGTGTATTTCTAAAAATAAAATACAATTTTTATTTACATTTGGAGGTATTTAAATTCATTTAATTTTAACACATCATTATATTTAAATTAATTTAAATGAGTCGATTGGATTGAATATGGAAGACTGATCGCGAGTTCACATTAAAAATCATCATGCATTCTAATATTTGTTTATGCTTAAATTTTTATTTTATGTATTTCAGAATATTCCCATGATTAACAATATTTCTGATTTATACAATTTTTTTTTTTCAAAAAATGCACACTTTTCTCCAATGTATTCATAATAGTTTATTTAATGATTTCGATTTTTTTAAATGTCTACAAACTCATACCATTTACCAACATTTTAGTTAGCTATTAAATTAATAGCATTAATAGTATTAATAATTCTCGTCCTAAATTAAAATTTTTTCATTCAACGTTGCATAAAATTCTATGCAATTTCAAAAGTCATCTATATGCAGTGGCGTATCCAGAATTCATTTAACGGAGATGTTTTAAAATTTAATATACTAGTACTCGTGTAGGACAAATTATGTTGTAAGTTTACAATTTGGTAAAATACTATAAAATACGGTCGATGGAGGGTGTTCTAATAACCATAACCCCCTAAATACGCTCCTGCCTATAGATATCTAACTCTTAAATTTTTTGGAGATTTTTTTTCTATTTCTAAACTAAATATAATATTTGTATATGTATTAAAGCATGTAAAATTATTCATTGTATTTTCGCGGCATAATGGCTACTTAAAATAGTATAAGCTAAAAATACATCTAATAATGTTGTGATTAAATAATTAATTGCAGTAAAACTAACAGCTTCTTCGAGTGTCTTTTTGATCATGAAATACTTTTCAGTAGGATCTCCAGCTTCATCTAACGGAGCATCATAATCGTATGAGGTCAACTGAGGTAAGTATCCACTATTCTCTGTAGTATCATTTGTGTTTGCCCCAGATGTGAAGCCAAAATTTGTACCTCCGTGAAACATATAAAAACTAAACGAAGCGTTCAGTGCTAACATATTTTTCATTTGATTTACAACATCTATAGAACGTACAACAGCAAGTGGTTCTTGCCAATGAGACAACCAACCGGGATAAAATTCTGAGTTGACTAATGGACCTCCATTTTGAATATTTTTCATTAAATTAAAACATTCAGTAGCTAAAAAATAATAATAGTATTAAATAAATCTGAAATAAATGGGTTGATAGCTTTAAGGATTATTTAAGTGTATTGTATAAACATAAATTCAATACATTAAATATCTTCAAACTTTTATATTGTTTTCCCTATATAAGACATTGATATTGTACAAATAATGTTTATATTTCCATTGATAGAATCATAAGCGTGTCCAGTACTATTTATTTGGTAGTGCATAAAATGAATACACACATGAGATATTTAGTAATCAAAAGGGAAAGAAAATACGATCTTCAAAAACCATGACTGCCATATAATACATATAAGAATATCTTTCCAAATTATCTTAATTCCTGCTATAATTATAAACATATTTTTCTTGGAATCATAACTTTAAATTAGTATTATATGATATCAGTGGCGCCGAAGTCAATTTTTAGAGTATTGCAAAGCATACCTGCTAAGCAAGACCTACCCACCTACCCACAATAGGTTGAATAACGGCCCTCAATTTTATTCTATAATTTTAATAACTTCGATCAATAAGTAAGTAAATTTAATGATTAGCGTTTAGGTTTATCATAATGTTAGGTATGATGATGAATAAAATAATTTATAACTTTCATAAATTAAAATAATGTTAGCCTCTATGTTTCGCATGCTTACCATACCCACCCCTAACAAGTATTGCAACTGTAATACATGGATACAGGGATCGGCACCAATGTATGATGTAACAATTAAAGTCGAATTTTGCAGGTCGTGTCTGTGAGAAGCATGATTCGTAGACACGCTTATAGATTAAATATATTCTTCAGTTTTTGTTTGAACCTAATGTATCCTATCTAAATTACATTATGCATAAGGAATCCTAATTCTGAATTCGGGGGGAGGTATCTCATTATAACTCTAATAAAAGTTGCCGTGCATATTATAACCAGGGCCGACGAGAATTTTGAGGGCCCCCGGGGCCCCCTTTATATGGACTTGTTTGACTAAGATATACACACTACTTGTACTTTGCTTGTACACTACTTATGCTTTTAGTTCAATAAAAATATTGTATAAAAGGCTAAGACGACGGGCCCTCTCAGACGTACGGCCCACGAAGCTCTAGCCCTTTCTGCCCCACTCGATCGTCGGCCAAGATTATAACAAATATGTATAAATACATATTTATCCGCAAAGGCTATAAAAAAAAACCAATCTCTTTTCGGTCAAACAGACCTCTATAGGTAGACTAAATAATATTTCATGTAACTCCTACGAGTTTCTATTGATGGATTCTCTATAACAAATCATGTCTATATTCAAAATACTTATTATGAAGTTAAATTATTGATTATTACTCAATGTACTTTTTCAACGCATGTGAGTGCATAGAAAGGAATTTCAAATGATGGTGCTTATTTCACGTCAGTGGCGGTTTTGGGGGTGAGGCAAGTGAGGCGCCGCCTAACCTACAATTTTAAGTAAAAAATACTATTAAAGTATATATTTTGGCCCACCGATAGCATATAAATATTTCGATATTAATTTTTAACGTTTTTATGATTTTATTTGAGAAAAAATCTTCTTTGCCAAGTTTAATTATTATATTGTAAAATAATGGTAAATCATATCATTAGTGTTTATTACCAAAAATAGTGATAAACCGATAAGAAATGAATGAAAATATAAGTATTACGTAAACAAACGCTGGTGTTTCAACCGGCGGCAATGTTCCGATGACGTCAGAAGGCACCGTTCATCTCCGCCTCAGAGTATGTACTATTGTGTACATGAATTACACACACAAGCGTATGTACGCGAATGCACGCGACTATAAAATAACTAGAGTTGCGCATGCGTAATGATCATTGTGAGGCTCGACTTACATCGCCTATGAAATAAAAATAGACTCGGTATACAGGAATATATAGTCAGCCGGCATTTCAACGTAAAAACACATTATCAGTAAAGATGTTATTGTTACAATCGAGATTCGGGACAGTCCTAATTAAACCGTTGTCCGTTGTAATATCTATTGATAATAATTTTATATTTATCATTATTTATTCATTAGTCATTTCTGTCTTGACGTCTTGTACGAATATTCGCTTGTGTCTTACACTTTTTCCGTTTTCGGTGGTTTCGTCTTAACGTCTGCGTTAAAATATATGTGCGAGTGCTGATGTTTATTGTAATAAACATTATTAAATTAATTACTGTTGGAGTTATAACGTATCCAGTGACAGACGTGGTAGTTTAATTTAGTTAATTAATAGTTTTAGAACTAGACATACTTAAAAGTCCTTTTCAGGACTAGACATACCTACTTGAAAAGTCCTTTTCAGAACTAGGCATACCTACTTGAAAAGTCCTTTTCAGAACTAGGCATACCTACTTGAAAAGTCCTTTTCAGGACTAGGCATACCAACTTAAAAAGTCATTTTCAGGACTAGGTATACCTACTCAAAAGGTCCTTTTCAGGACCACCAAATTTTAAAATGCTCTGTTTATTACCTATCTATCACTTACTATACGAAACAAGTATATTATTAGCATTCATACAATTATAATTATTTTTGTTTTTTAAATTACATTTATTGTGAATTCTAATTTTGTATGGAGGGAGGGGGGATGATACATTATGTTGCCTCACCGAAAAAATACTACCAGAACCGCCACTGTTTCACGTTTTAAAGTAACGAGTTAGTGAGTTACACTAAACTGTAATATTAATTTACAGTACTATACTAAATAAAATAAAATTGAGAGGAATTAATAAGAACTCATTACTGTTTACTGAAATACCAAAGTCTACAGTTGCGTAAACTTCCGGAATATAACCACAGTCAAAATACGACTGACCACAACCATCAATCGTGAAAAGTACAGCTTTATTTTCTACATAACCTTTAAGTAAATCGCGTAGCCACAATTTGTACTGAGAATCACAGGCGTAATAACTACCGTACTCATTTTCCACCTAATAATATAACAGATTAATGTTAATTAAATTAAAGTATATAATTTTACGGCTGCATCCGAGTTGCGGTCAGAGACGATTTTTGAGGTAAGGACATATAACTAGGGTTACCATACGTCCGGATTTCGTCCGGACAGTCCGGATTGGCGTCCGGATTTTACAAAGATAATCGTTTAAAATGGTTATATTGATACAAAATGTTATATCAGGTGACAGATTTTCGTGTTTACTCTGTATAAATGTACAATATGTAATTTTTTTTTTTTTTATATTTCATATTTGTATTGTTTTAACATATTTAACCTAATAACTCTTATGTAGACATTTTATTCATAAATCTAATTTAAATTGTATTAATGAAATAACAATATTGTTTACTTTTAATTTTTAGCCTCCCCCCTCCGGTGAAACGGAACTGATATCCGGATTTGGTCAAAAAATATTATGGTAACCCTACATATAACAGTTGCAGTCACGCGAATTGTAGGTAATATCCTAGTTGCGGTCATATACCTATTACTTATCTGTAAAGTTTGTAAATAAAATAAATAAAATTGTACAGTGGCGTACATATAACTTTTGTGTGGAGGGGGATCAATTGCAAACAAATTATTATGGAAGAAAAATTCCTAAACCAAAGGACTTGCACATTCAAAATAATAAATTATAAAATATATATATTGAATATGTTAAAATAATAATTTACAATAAATCCTTGAAATATTTTTTTTGTTTCCTTACATTAAAAATACTATTTTATACAATTTTTAAAAGACCTATAGGGGGATCTGACCCCCACATCGCCCCTTGTATACGCCCTTGCAATAGTAGTACAATCACGAACTAGATGATCACCAATTAATGGTACGGAAAAAGGTAAGTTACAGTGTTAAACGTAAAGCAATAGAGCAGTTGAGTAACCGTCCCTCCAAAATTTTTTATTCTGAGATGTCAAGTACAGTACTCAGTGTACTGGGGTCAAATGGCGTTTCATTGATTAAAAAAAATATACATACTGCAAGAATGAATGTTCACCCGAGGTTGCCGCATGACTTTTCACAATTACTTCAGTGATTTCAAACCTACACAATAAAAATAGTGTAGACAGTCCTAAATCTGTTTATAAAATGGAAAGGAAAATGTTGAAACTTTTGTAAATAAAATAGCATGGTATATACCATATATATTAGATATATATTTTGAGTGACCGCAACTAGTATGTAACCTTTTTGTTGGGTGACCGCAACTAGTACGTAATTCTTGATTTTGACCGCAACTAGTATACATCGAATTATACCAATACATTGCCTTTTGCCATTTCGTTCTTACCTGAACCATAATTATATTACCGCCATTTCCATACAAATAAGGTTTCAGTTTTGTCATAAGAACATTAAACCAGATTGAAACATATTTTCTGTAACCTATTGTATAGAACAGATTCAAACAGCAAAATTAATAAGACACTTGATCATACTTTTTATACTAAACATTTATGAGATATTATTCAAGATCATTAATTTGCACTTATTTGCATAATACTTTATATTTATTTATATAGCTAGAGTACTTAAGTACCTACTTGAGTTATTAGTCCTTAAGCTTTTTTTTGGCGTCTTATTTAACAACCAATATGGAAATCCACCCTAAATATAAAAAAATTGTCAATCCATTTAATTTTCACTTTATCCCAATTGTATTTACTCTCATAGAAAATACCTTAAAATATTTGCAAACTACTTACAAAATCTCGTTCTGCACATATATATGGTCCTGGCCTTAAAATTATATACATGTTTTCATCTTTGATTAATTTTATAAAATACTCCAAGTCAGCAATTCCTTCAAAATTATACATTCCGGGAAATGGTTCATGTAAACTCCATTCCACATAACTGCATAAAACCATTTCAAAAAACAATTTTTTAAAAATTTTAAATCGAAAAAATTAAAAATTAAACTAGGGAAAACATCAATTATCGTATTAATCTATAAATCTATCAATTTATTTATCGATATATATATATAAAATTAATCTCTATTTTCCTTGGTAACGTCATCACGCGTGGTCGGCTGAACTGATATTGCTAATTCTTTTTTTATTTCTTATTGTCAGGATAAGGTTCTTATAAAAGAAAAAATTAAGATAGTTGCACTGAATAATAGATCATTTAAAAAAAATTATCGACCATTTTAACTTTTCTAATGTAACCTTATGTCGTTTGACATAACTATCAGTTGATTGCTGCAAAAAACATTGAGGTCAACGAAATTAATTTTCAAATTCAAAATAAGACAGCTGACGAATTTATGACAGACATGCAAATCGGTTGATTCCGTTACTAAGTTGATTTTGTCGACAACCCAACGCAATTCTGAAATTCGCTTGAATTGTCCAGATTCCCACCTCGTAATCAGCAAATTAAAATCGGATTGATAATAAACATGTTCTACGGAATTATTTGATTCCAAACGAAATTCTATTCGACTTTAAACGATTACTATCTCCACTGCTGCTAGCATTTGCAACGTTAATAAATCGTAAGGATATTTGATAAGTGTTGTGACATTAACTTGAAAATCCATGTCTTTCATATGGTCAGTTGTATGTCACCTGGCCCCGTATAGAAATATCAACAAAAACTATAGTTTACTCATATACGCCCCAGAACACAAAACTAAGATTTTTATACATCATAATGCACTAGAATAATAAGCACTATGGTTTTGGAATAAATATTTATTTTTTTATTAATTATACCAATTATAATTCAATATTCATATTTCATGCAGGATAACGTCTGTCGGTTTCGCTAGTAAATATACTGAGTGGAAAAAGTATAAAATTGACGTATAATAATATTTTAATGTACCTAAGTAAGTACATTTATATTTTACACACATTTATATGTTTGAAAATCATATACCTATATGAAATTACAGATAAGTTGCTTATCATGTAAATTTTTGAAAATGGTAAAATGCCAAAAAATAACTGATAAAGGGATAAATATGTAATTGGTTCAATCAAATCCAAGTTTCAATTCATTGTTCTTTGATTACTTACTATACAAAAATATTGGAATGTTTTTATACCAAATTAAATAAAACCAGAAAAAGTTTTAAAAAATACCATATTTTTATCAAATAAGAAGTGCGATGCAATATTATATGAATTTTCTCCACCTAAAAATGATCAGAAGAAAAAGAAGACATAACGCGATTATTGGATAGTTTTTTTTTTTTTTTTTTAATTCACATGTAAAATCAAAAAATGTTTAATTAAATAAAATCATATTTTATAAAAATAATAAACATTTTTTGATTGAATACTATTCTGATATTCACAATTTACCTAACGTAGTAATAGTATTCTACTCATATAGAAATCCCAAAAATTGTATAGATGGACTAGACTCTAGAAATTATTTTAAATAACATTAAAATGTAATACATTGCCAAACAGTACAAGGGATTCAATATAATATCTAAGATTTCTATGTAATGGTCTGTATTGAATATATTGTCAGTAACACATATAACTATAGCTAACTATATACTAAACCATATTACTAGTATCGGTCTGACTCATGATAGGGCCTCTGGAAAAATATTTACAATGGGCCCCTAAACAACATAATATCGGAGAACATTCAATAAATACCTAAAACAAATTTTATTTTTTTTTCTATATTTTTTCTAAGCCAATATTATCGAATTGTCATTGTGTTCGTGTATGTGACCGTTAACAACACGTTAACAACTTATCACAAATTTTCAAAGCATTTATATTTGTTCGATTTTGATCAAAAGAACAAAAATGTATAAACTATAGCGGTTCTAGTTCTATTAAATCACATCAACAATATTTTAAGATTAAATAAGAATAACATAATTTTAATTTAATTCAGGAAAATAATTACTACGATTTTTCATGTTAACATGGTTGTTTTGGGCCTAGGGGTGGATTTAGGAAAGTTTAGGAGGTCAGTTGACCCACAATTAATATTTATTCACAAAATTGGCCATTTGAAGACTTCTTATATTTTTTAAGTGCTGACTATAAGTTGAAGTTAAAACTAAACAGAAAAATACCCCAGTTTCCACCTTTTCCCTCCCCCCATAAATTATGCCACTGGTTTAGTTGTATATTAAAATAAAATATCTATGCAAACCCCATATAAGGTTCCATAAAATATGTTAAGATAAATGCTTACAATGATAATTATGAATAAACTTAGAAAACAAATATTATATGATCATATAGTTCTTTTATTATAAGGAATACATTTATAATCCACTTTCAGCTCTAATAAGTGGTTTCTTGAAATAGTCTGACCCACAGCTCTCTAACTATGGGCCCCTATTTTAAGAATAAATCTCAGAGCCCCAGACGATTGCCGGATATCCGGGTGGGCCAGACTGAAACTATATATTAATATATACTATAAAAATAACTTAGTTCAAGTTACTGAGTTGCTTACAGGGACGGATCCAGAGGGGGGCAAATGGGTCGATCCCCCCCCCCCCGTTCACCGTAACGGTCTTTAGTTTTTGACATAATTACTTCAAGGGTAAATAGGGAAATCTTAAACTATTTTTTTTTTATACAAAATTTATGCTGGTACTATGTTATCACCTATATTTATTATTTGGTGATATACTGATATCATAGTTATATACTATTATCATGATGTTAAATATTCGTAACCAAATGTTGTGTTTGTTGGTGTTTCCGAAACGTGGTAACTGATGACGACCAACGTAAAAATCGTTCGGTACCTCTATAATCAACAAATTTGTAATTTATAAACTCTATTGTTATGAGTCATACTGGAATAACTAAAAAAAATTATTATTATTATTACTACAGTAGAACCTCGATTATCTGGGGCAATGGTGGGGAAGGGTCACATGGAAAAATGAAAAACACGGTTAATCGAGACTTTTTATTTAATGAATTATGAAAAAATTTATAATTTTATATCCATATTAAGTGTGTACGATATTATTTTCTCAATGACTATTTTTGAAACGGCTATAGCAAATGCTAAAAATACACTAAATAATATGAAAAAAATTCGACAGACTTGAAAATTTTCCATATGTATTAGTTATAACGTGATTAGATAAATATGATTGTTGAAGAACTATTAGACTCTATTAATTTTAAACAACTCATATCTACCTGTGACGTATTTTTATCGCTGAAAAATTCGTTTACGTTTTTCGATAATATGTACATAATATAAAAATACGTTCGTCCGACCTAATTAAAATTTTCAGACGAAGAATTTCGAGCGACGATAATTTTTGAAGACTGAGCACGATTAACGGGATCATGGATAATCGAAATATGGTAAATCGGGGTTCAACTGTATATACATTTTTTTTTAAGACTTTTTTTATTTAAATAAATAACCTATATCAAAGTTAATATTTTTAATTTTATCTATATAAATATCTATATCATGTGTGTTCGCTAAAAATCCCCCCGACCGTTATCTTGGTCAGGATCCGCCCCTGGGTGCTAAAGTGCATTGTTTTAAAACCATAACATATTTTTATTTACAAGGATATTCTATACATTTACATACATATATAACTTACGTTGTTACAGCATTTAAACCAGCTGCTTTCATTTTTTTAATTCTATCCTTCCAATAAGGTTGAGGAATTCGAAAATAGTGTAACGATCCGGAAACATATCTAAATACTTCACCATCTTTGAGAAATTCATTTTTTTCATGATCTATGACAAATGTTCGTTCACTTGTCTGAAAATAAATTTCACAAAAAAATTACGAAATAATTTCATAATTCAGTGATAGATTAAATAGTTCTAATAAATTAAATAAATAATAATATATATAAATATATATAAAAATAATAATAATAAATTAAGTAATTAATTCGCATATTTTTTCACTGATGATAACAACAGTTATCACTAATATAATTTTGTACATACTGCTGCATAACTTTTATAGCTTTATTTATATTTATGTCTATGACCATAAGAATTAATTACTTTTTTTTCATGTTTGTACTGAGAGCCCTGCGATATCTGTTTATCACATTACTACACACTCGGAAAGTATCAATAACTATATAAGTGCATTTTAACTCTTCCAAAATGTGTATATTTTTTTTATAAGTACGTAAAGACAACACGCATTTAGAAATACTAATATATTTTAAATAAAATATCTAAAAATATTTATTTTTATTTCTATGATCTCTAAACATAAATTAAAATTTGTGTAGTTCAAAAATTTATCCTTCTATCTATTTATACTTCCTTCTCTCGTTTTGTACTAGTTGATTTTCGGTTTTAAAACAGTTATCTGGCTATAGATGTATCACAGGACGAAATAAGTATTTTCTGCTATTCAAATCTAGCAAATCCAAATTAGTACCGTTATAAGTTAATACTATGCACATCAGCGCAAATAAAAGTTTAACCCCTAGATTAATTATAACCTCCCCCCTCAAATAATGATTCAAATACTGTGAATAATCTACATTTGTCCATTTGCAAGTTGTTACTCAATGATAATTGATAAGATTTTGAAATTTACTAATCACATTTTAAATTACAGTGGAATAATACATTTTCATGAAAGAATTACCATTATAATTCTTAAACAACTTTTTATTTTTCAATAATATAAATAAAATAAAACTATGTCTTAACTTGACGAAATTTTAATTTAAACCAAGTTTGAACAATTTCACTTATGTTGATTTTATCCTCAATATCTTTTGAAGAAAAAAGTAACATCAAATAATCTAAACGTTCATCACTCATTGTTGTTCGTAGATGATTCATTATCAATTTTAATTTACTAAATGATCTTTTACTCGATGCAGAAATTGGTAAAGTCAAAACAAAACGGACAATTTTATATGCGCATGGTAATATATTTTGTAGATTATATGCTTTCTTCGAAATATCTACAAAAATTTTACAATCTTCATATGAATCAAGAAGCATTTATAAATCTACTTGTATGCATTCGGGCTCTTCTAAAAAGAATTTAGGTTGCAAATTAACAATGGATTTTATCAACTCAATAGAACAATTTTCTTTTTTTGCTGGAATTTCAAATACTTTTTGGTCTGGTTCTAACTATTTCGAATGCTAGAAGTAAATACATCAAATACTGCTTTGAATTCTTTTCGATAAAATGTAAATAAATTAAACATACGTGCATTTTCAGAATTTTTGTCGATTTTTTTTTGGTGCAACACGTTTTCTGTGCTGTTTAGCAAAGTCACTTTCCGGATTAATCTCATGTTTTTTTAAAAACACAAGTGAACTCTGAATCAAATCATTAATGTGCTTGTCATTGTTCATTTCTTCGAATGATTTCAGAATGAATTTCTATGAATCATTTTCATAGCATCGACAACATTTAGCTCTTCGCTTTCCAATGATTTTGTTAAATTTTTATTATAAACATGACATTTTTTCATAAAATATAAAGAACAAATAAAATCGAAATGTAAAATATTTTTGAGGAGACCAGATGCAACTGCGCGACTTTTGGTATCGAAATCTATAATATTGATCTTTATTCTTTCTAAAACCTGAACAATGTTCTCGAAAGCAATCCAGACAGCCTTAATTGTTTCCGCTCGAGCTGTCCATCGTATTTGAGATAAATTTTTTAAACATAAGGAATTTTCAATCGTCTCCAACTCTTCAGTCAAACTTTGAAAACGTTTTGTACTACCAGCAAAATATATATACAAAGTGTTTAAAATATAAAAAACTTTTTTATAATTAACTACTTGCAATACATGCTGTTTCCACAAAAATATTAATTCTGTGAGCCTGACATAGAATATACAAGATTTTTTTATCACATATTTCTGATAGTTTTTGCAGTGTACCATTATACTCTTCAGAAATATTTTTAGCGAAATCGTAAGACTGGAATATAATCTTATTTACAGGAATACTCAAAGAATTAAGAGTTGAAAACAATATTCTTAGCTAATTCTTCACCAGTTTTCTTCGTAAACACGACATCCATTTTCAGTAATCGTTCTACAAGTACAGGGCCTTCATTCGTATCAAGTACATATCGCGTTACACTAATGACAATACCCCATATCTGACATTTTACATAAAATGAGTTTTTGGTATCAAAATATTTGTTATCTCCTTAGGCACAACATTTATTTTCTGTACAATAACCTAAAATAAATTATTAAATTATTTCCCTTCCAAATTAGATATATTATTTAGTATAATCTATACTAAACAAGGCCGTAACTAGGGGGTCCAAGGGTCCGGACCTCCCCCGAAATTTTCAAAGTAGAAACATTTTAGCGATGAATATAGTTTATTAACTATAAATTGTATTAAATAATAATGTTAGACCCCCCCCCCCGAAATTTTTTTCCAGTTACGGCCTTGATACTAAATTTGATAAAAATATGAGGTTAATATTTGTTAAAATTTATTCAGTTTTTTTATTCTCCTGAACAATTGATGAAATTTAGATACGTGGTATTGTCATTGGTGTAACGATCGGATATTAATTGCAAGACGATCTTTATGCGACGAGTCTGGTGTTGTATCGGCCAGTGATGCCGAAGTGTTTTAAAAATACTATGACATCCTACATCCAGGGGCCCCCAATTTTTTTTTCAACATAACAATTGAATACGAAACAAACCACTCACACATTTAGTGTATAACCATTTTTTTTTTTTCATTCTTTAGCTGAACAAATATTTAAATTTATTTTTTGCTATGACCTGTTTGAACATAGGTAAGCTATTATCTAGTTACTAAGCTGTGACTTAACACGGTTTTGATAAACCATATGAAATCGAGAACTAATTACCTAGTATCATTTAAATATTCATAATATAAATAAAATAACATATTAATTACCATAATACTACATAGATTGTCAAGTTTTTATTTAATTAAAAATTAAAATCTTATAAAATTAATGATTTAATTAAAAAACTACTTTTTTGTGTAAAAATATATACTACTAAATCTTTATCAATCATAATGTCACTCTCACAAGAAATTTTAACTAGTCCTTCTAGGCGGTCTTCGGATGTTAATGATCTTAATCTTGTTTTGACTTGTTTCATTTTTGAAAATGATCTTTCAGTACTATAATTAGAAACTGGTAATTTTACAGCAATTTTAATAGCATAATGAAGATGTGGGAATACACTATCTAAATCAGTAGAATGTAATAAATTAAAAATATAAATTTAACTTTTTGAATTTTTATTTTCTTTTAAAATTTTGTTGTCATTATCTTCCATGCTTGAAAATGAATCACTGAACAATAATTCTTCATCATCTGATATATTTAATTCTGTTTTTGTGTGTAATTTTGTTAGTAGAATTAATGTTTTTTTTATCTCTGAAAAACGTGAAGTAAAAAGTAAACTGCAATATTCAGTACACAAACAATTTAAGTCTACTATTTTATAATTATTACAAAGTTTAATAAATGAATCAACTGACAACAAAATTGGCATTTTCATAATTTCTTCTATTTTTTTTAATAAAAACAGAGAAATATCTTTTAAAATACCAATATGATTTGGATTAAAACGTTTATTAATTTCATTGTTTACATGATCTAGTGCTGGGAGTACTGTATTAATTTTAAACAACTGAATGAGATCTTGAATTCGTTCATCGATAAATCTTTCATCATGTTTTCTAGGTACTTTTTTTATTCTTATCGTTCTTAAAACTTCAAACTTTTAATCTGATTCGTCTATAAATGCTTGGGCTTCTTCATAAAGATTATCAAAAGTGAGAAACATATTTGTATCTTACATTGAATGTTCTAGGATGAAACAAGAAAAATATGCATTTGCTAGAATTTCCGAGCCCTGATTATAACAATAAGTTTACAATTCTACATGCAGTAAATAATTACTATTATACTATTATAGTATTATTTAAAATAATGAAATTAATTTTTATATCAGTTAAAAATATTTAAAAATAATGTAATAAATTTTGAATTTACTTACAGACTACAGAGTAGTGTACAGTTACGAATACAGTTGTCAAATATTATTCACTCAATTACTTCGTAAAAAGTAAAACCATAAAAATATAAAATCAATATATCTACCTAAGTAATTAAATTATTAAAGACATAACGATCATTTATCATTATTCTTTACCTTAAATACGTTAAATTATTAAATCCATAACAAAATAACTGTTCATGATTATAACAATATAACATATATAGTTTATTTTGTCATACTTTCATGACCATTGACCATGTTCAACAGTTGAGCTGTCAAATGTTGAGTTACTACGTTAGTATAATAATTTTAGTATACTATAATTGGTATTAGAGTCTATAGACTATGGTCTATATTCTATAGAATCAGTAGAATCATAATCTACTAACTACCTTAGGGTGCCCGTTATTTATATATGAACAATTTTTTTTCTTCAAAATTTGAGGAGTGCCGCCTGGGAATATTTTTTTATGGGTCTAAAAATAAGATCTACAAAATTTGAGCTTTATATAATATGATTAACAGGGCGCGCTCTAAGCTCAAAGTTCATATTATCGCACAAGTTTTGGTTTTATCTAAAAAGTTATAAGAAGCTTTTTTGTAGAATTTGTTATTTACTAAAATTAGTGGTTCTTATACATTTTTCGTACAGTCAATACTTTTTTGTAAAAACTAAAAAAACTATATGATAATAACATTTTGTGAAAAATGCCCGTTTTTATGTTTTTTGAAATTATCTCTCTAAATATTAAAGGTACAGAAAAATCATAAATTACTAAAATTGATTCAATTTATTTTTACTAAAATATATGTAATTATACATTTTTGCGTTTAACTAACTAATTTTGATTAAATTGAGAAAATATATAAAAATAACTAAATTTTCTCAAAAATACTTTTGTTTTCTTGAATTTAAATATTCATAGGAGAGGACAAAGCACTTTTTGTTGTTTCAAGATATCTAGATCTATAGTCCTTGACCATCTGAAACAGTATAAGCAAAACTTTAGTTTATTTTGAAGTACAATATATTTTTAGAATGTTTAAATTACTCACTTGTAATAAAAATTGTTTTTGAGTTTCATCTCTCGTAATACTGTTATTATAATCTTCTACAATTTTTATGCCTCTTTCAGCTGAATTATTGACATTTCTTAGTTGTTCAATGATAGTTTTTCCTTTTTGGTAAGCACTTGAGTTTAACCATAGAGACGGATAAATGTGTAAAAAGTTTTCAATTTTAAAACGCTGAAATATATTTGCTGATTTTTGACATAACAGTGATATTAAAATTTCTTTGTCTGGTTTGCTTAAAAAAATTGTTATTTCACTAATTTTTAAGTTGTATTTTTTCGTGTGAACTTCAGACTCATCGATATTGATTTGCTCATTTATATTTTTTGCCATGATTAATTTTGTGTTAACATCTATACTTTCATCAAATAATGCAAATGCAGCACACTCTTCGATTAAATAGTAAAGGTGGTTAATAAATTTACAAAAGGCTACTTCAGATACATTTTTGTCTATTTCTTCGTATTATTTTAATTCTCTTAGAAACTTGATATCGTTTAAAGGGGCAGATGCGGCCTCAACAGCATAAATCCAATATATAACATAACATTTTACAATAAATGATGTAATATGAAATAACGACTTTTCTTCTAATTTTGATAATTTAAATTCTGTTTAAAATAGATGTAATTTTAAAGTGTATATGGCTTTTGCCATCCACTTTGCCATGTGATATGCTCCAGGTTTCCTAAAATGTATTCCACCTGGAGGCACACCACCAAGATAAATGATTGACAAATCCAAAAGCTCGCGGTGGTCTTCACGGGGTAGTTTTTTTGAAATGGCCGTTTTAAGTGATATTAAAATATCATCTAAATTATTTTTGAAGACCTCTTGTACTTTCGTACTATTTATGCCCGGAATAAAATGTTGAGTATTTATTTTGGACCGATTTGCCTGAAATCTTTTGAATAATGGAATGTCTGGTCCAGATACGGTAAATTTACATTTTGTAAAAACTGCTGCCAATACAATTTCGAACACGTGATGTCGACATCCAAAATATAATACATCTCTTTCTAACTTCTGCTCTAGTATAGTACACGCTCCTTTCAATCTGCCAGTTTTTGACGCTGTTGTGTCAAAACCAAAAGCTTGAACATTTTCTACTAAATTCCAGTCTTCTAATGTGTTGTATACTGCTGATGCTGATACTTCATTTCCAGATGCAGCTGTTATTTCTGGAACTCCTAGCAATTATTCAATATTTGTACTTGTTCCAATTATAGACAGTCTTTCAACTGGTTTGCCCGTTAAATCATGTAGCAATTTTGTATCCTAATGCAAAGTGATTACTTGGGCATTAAACTTACTGAAGTTTTCTTTTATTTTTTTAGTATGATGAGGACGGCGCGGCGGTGATGTAACGTGTGATAACATAATAATGAATACTTCGGTCTTCGACTCACTAGTCATAAATACGCGCACGACTATTTGAAAGCATGCATGTACAACATTTTTGAAAGAGAATATCGACATTTCGTTACAACA